ATGTAAGAAGGGCTACCTACAGAATTGAGTTTTGTGTTTACAAAATTGAGTTTTGTGGAACCGGTTCGACAGAATTGAGTTTTGTGTTTACAAAATTGAGTTTTGTGGAACCGGTTTGACAGAATTGAGTTTTGTGTTCACAAAATTGAGTTTTGTGGGACAGGATTGACAGAATTGAGTTTTGTGTTCACAAAATTGAGTTTTGTGGGACAGGATTGACAGAATTGAGTTTTCTGTTCACAAAACTCATTTTTGTCAAGTTTATAGGTACAAAAATGCCTGTCCTGCATGGCGCCCCGTATCTCGCTCGTTCGCGCGCGCGCTCTCTCTCTCACTCGGTTTCTCTCTTTCATTTTCTGTTCCTGAGCGCGTGTTTTTTTTATATTGGTCGGTGTGTGTGTGTGTGTGTGTGTGTGTGTGCGTGTGTGGTGGCGTGGGTGTGCGAGAGCACGCGCGTGTGTGCGTGTATATTTGCGTGGGTGCACCTGTGTGCATGCATGCGTGCGGGGTTGTGCGTGTACGTGTGTATGTCACTATGTGTGCGCGCGTGTGTGTGTATGTGTGCACGCGTGCGTGTGTCTGTCCTTCTCCGGCTCTCTCTCACGCTCTCGCTCAATCTCAACATTTCACTGTCGCCACCTTTATAACAGCAATAAGTTTGCATGGTAATAACTAGGAATGTGATCTGCGGTAGTTAAAGCATTCAGAAAGCTGTGGTGATGTAGCAAAGGATTTCATTGTCTTTATCCAGCCGGTATTAAATTTACTTCCCAGATACAAAATATTTGAAATATATATGGTAGGAAGCAACTTTTATCGAAAAGCTTTCTTGCGAATCATTATTTTTTTCAATATGCATGCGAGTCTTTGTTTTTGGCTGGAATTACCTCCTCATACATTCCTCTTTATATTGATATTCAAGGGCGGTTATTGAATAGTTGGTGTTTTAAGCCAATCTTATTAAGCTGATGTCGTCTGATGTCGTCTGAGCTGGATGATGGCTTGAAAGTATTTAGACTGTCAAATGTAATTATTGCTTTTTGAACTAGTCGGTACCATTAGCCTTTTACATTTTATACAATGCAAATTGTCGCACAAACTCACATATGTTTCCAGATTAGTAAGAAATAATTCAACAAAAAATCAATACCTGTTTGTCCTCATGGATTGCAGATCTAGTTTGGCAATATCACGGTACCACCATACGTACACATACAAACCTTTATTGGGGCAGTTGCCAATGTTTAAACGAAATTGGCAGTCTACATTTCAATAAGTCTAAGTTTAAATATTATTTGCGGCCTGATATGATACGTCTGTTTTGTGGCCTTCCTATCGAAATCTACTACCCTATATCATTAAATTATCACAGATTTAGATTCAAAATTATTTCGGAGTTACATTTTTTTAGTAGAGGAAAATCATCTAGCCACACAATGTGACGTTTCACATTAATTGGATGCCCTGATGAGAGTGCGCAAACCTAAAATGCTAATACTCTAGGTGAGAGAGAGAGAGAGAGATGGCTTTAATCCGAATTTTCTGTACGGGTGGTTTGAAAAGCCCATTCTGTGTAAATGTCTGTGCTGCCGTGGAGTTTAAATGTTCCACCCGAGCTACTTATTCACGTGTCAGAGGTTAAGGAGTAAGGGTTATTACGGACGGGTAACACTGTAAAGGGCATTGCAACATAACTGCTCATCAAATTCAATCAAATAATATCCATTACATAAGAGAGATGGTCTCTCTACGCTCTTGCTGAAAAAATTATTTAAAAATTTATCGCTAATTAAGTGACGGCAAAAATTGAGAATTTATACAAAAAAGCTTTTTTTGTTATTTTCTCAGAAACAGCAAAGAGTTAGGGACCTAAGCTTTAAACCATAGACGTTGTTCCATAAGATAATATTGAAAGCTAAAAAGGGTGCCCTGGAATTTTTGTTAAATGGCTTTAGATTGTAGGTTTAGTTTAGTTTTCGAAAACGCCACAATTTCGTAAACAAAGAGTCTGAACTTATAAAATATAATATTTTTTTTTAATGTCCGAGGAGTAAAGGTCTTTTTTCCTTTGATATTTTTTAGCATTTGAAACGTAACACAAAAGTTTCTGGGAGATCTGAGTTGTGGAGTTTTCGAGAAATACGTTGGAAGAATCAGGGCGCAAGGCTTCAGGAGCAGCTTTCTGAAACAATGGACCATAGTTAACGGCGCGCCCACAACTTTTCTCAATTTCCCATGATTGAACGCCTGTGTTAAGAATTGACTAATGCGGGATTTGGAACTGTTTGGGAGGCTACATACATAATTTCTACGTATAGGCCTACATAGCTGCCCATGGGTCCGATCTATCAAATAAAGTCGGTATTGAAATTTTGACCGAAAATCACTTCCCAACCCTAATAGTAACCTTAATAACCTGGCACTGTCTTACCAGGAACCTCGATTAAGGTAGTTTGCTCGCATTGTGATGCGGGTACATCTACTAGTGCTGTCACCCAGGTGTCTAAGGTGTAGCCACACATTAGCCATGGACTGCCTGACATTAGATATAAAATGATAACGCTAGACTGTTAATTTAAAAATAACGTATTTTATTCATATTCCACAGAAAAGTGAGAAATTTCTACTTCATACGTCAATAAGGTTTTTCAGAATCATTGCATTGTTTTACGTAGCACAGGTGTCTCAAACCGCCCTTATGGAAAATTACTATTAAACAAGCCACCTATCTGTGTAAAAGCCATTATCGAATTATCCCTCTCTCTATTGACCAACACCACGGCCAAATGTTCTGTGCAGATTACTGTGCTTCGTATTTTAACCGTATACATAGTAAGCACAAATTGTGGTCCGTGCATATTTGCCTATGTCGGTGGAGTTGCCGCTTCCTCATTCTAATTTAGACGGACGCAAAAAGCTATCAGCATTCGCGGTAACTCCTCACAGAAGTGGTCACAGAATTGCATGCCTCATGAATTTACTTAGATAACTCACATACATGGAGAATTAAGAGCTATAGTTGCTCTCAGCGTTACTTTACATACGACTGACTGCAATTTCTATGCATTATTGTTTTATCATAATATTGCGCGTGTATCCGTAACTTGCGTGGTGTATAGTATACCGCAGGATGCGGACAGTGAGTGACCTTGTGATTCAATCCACAGTTCACGTGATAATAGTGAGATTCACTATAGCCACTAGTTCTCGTTCATAGTATGAGTGTAAAATGTTTCAGTAGCTTTAGTACAGTCGATAGCATGTGGCACGCAGGTGCACGTAATGCACGTATATATTAAACGTAAGTTAACACGTTATCACACGCGAATGTGATCTTAGGTGCTCGTAAGAAAGGTTTATCAAATCAGTGTTTTAGCAGTTTATTGTGTATAGATATTATTGAATTGATAGATGTCACGAATTGCGATGCTCATTTCCAATGTGTGCTTTTATTTCTCTAGCGTCTAGGGCTCATACACAATGCACTGGCTACTATGTAACTACTATGTGTTTTAATCTGTGGACGAATGCGTGCGAAATTGTAGACCGAATAGATAGAAGGTTTTACCGCTCTGCGCAACAAAATCAACCTGATTTGTTGGCGGAGGAAGATATGTAGTAGAAGGATATCTGAACGAGGGCGTAGAGTCTTAGAAGGCGGGATTCGAAGTACAAGATGCGGTAATGGTTGTATAATGGGGAGGTGATGAAGATATACAATATTGTCTGTGGTGGTATAATAGTCGAATTCAGATGGGGGAATTAAAGGGGAAATAAATAGTAGTGAAGTAGTAGCGAGGTTTTTGCTCCCGTTTTTACATGCTATGACGTTATAATTATATTGATTTAATTACCGTATAATCAAGAATGAGTGAAATTAAAATTTTATTTTAAAAATTTAATGTAGGTATGTTGCCTTAAGTTTTATTTAAGTATTGCCTCTAGTTGCAGTGAGCAATCCTTTAGGTAAATTCATTTGGTTAATTACGAATAGGTGCCAGGTTTGTCAATGTCTATAATAATCATGTTACAATTGTTCAATTCAAATGTTCTCCGAAGTTTAGCCACAAAATTGTTATGTTTACGTTGTTTGATTGATGTATATGGTATATTGTGTTGACGATATCGGGTGCTTAATAAATGAATTTATTGTATGAGTTTAGTGTAATTATATCTACGTGTTGTATTTTCTCTTGAAGTCATGTATTTTTCTCCGTGGCTCTCGTCAAAGTACTAGCGGTGAACCAGCTAATATGATTAAGCTGATTAATTCAGCGGCAAATATCATACTTATTCTAGTTTTCGCTAATTTTTATATAAGCATTTGTTTTGTTTTCTTTACACTATCATTCGACATTTGGCCTTGTAACGTAACAACAATTTGAAAGTCGGGGCTAGGCACTGCGATAGCACGCTGTTATGTTAAATGCAAAATATTGGATGTCGCAAAAATGTATCTCAGAGGAAACGCGAATTTTGATTTTATCGCGCGGTGTGTTCGCGTAGTTTCCTTCCATCCACTTTGTCAAGTTACTAGTTATTATTAAACATGCAACATTTCACACATTCTTAACGAAACGCCCCAAAATATACATTTGGATTATTATAGTACTGTATCATATTTTAATAGTAGGCTACTGTAATAATTTACTATAAAGCCGAAAAAACTCACAATCCGAATCAAGGTTCTAATTATTTACCAGTTCTATATAATCTCAGTATTGAGAGGGGGTCTGCAGTCCATTTCGTCTGCTATCCCGCATATATCATTATATACACTAAAATTATAATTTTGTTGCCCAAATTATTGCACATATTTGGGCTTATCATTTAATTTTTGATACAATTCTCGTCGAACAGTTTTCCTTTCCCTCAGAGGCTACAAACCTGATTATTCCACCTTGTAAAACAAATGATGTAAGAAGTTTTATTACAGTTTTTATCATAGAAATAACGAAGATGTTTACAACAAAAACTTTTGTATGACCTGTGCCCAGTAGCTACTCTACCTCGTTGATGATACGGTCTTGTTACACGGTAGCAAAACCACCCACATCTGAATCTAGCTAGACAAATAGCATATCCATGCATATTTTATGTCAAATTCACGATATATCAGTAGTGAGTCTAGGAGAGTTCTCCTCATCTACCATAATATAATGGTTTTAATCATAACAACAATCATACTGCCGGTATTACCTATTTATACTAATACAATTATCATTATTATTACATTAAATGGTATTTAAGTAGCAACGTTATTTAAAATTGTTCACGATATTAATATTGCCAACGCTCAACAATTTGAAAGGGCAGCTATGAAGAAAACAATAAAAAATATTAACATATAATAATATAATTGTAAACAATATAAATAAAAAATGTTTTTCGCCTACCCGCCCATAACACACCAAATCTATTTTAAATGGAAATACGATATTGTCCATGAAGACTAGTAGATGTTTCTTGGGTGATACAGAAATATACTACGCAGAAGTGTGTTGTTATTACCTAGGTTTTTAGAAATTTGCTAAGTATGCTTGTTACGTGCGGTGTATGAATCTTTAGGAAAACAATAAAAACGTCTGCTTTCTATCTTGCCTAATCTCCAGAAAGTGTGATATCACATTTTTCTTGTTGATAAATATCTACTACGAGTCGTTCAAGAGGTATTGACCCGATAGTTTCCTTGAAAAATATTTCTTCCACTAGGTGGCACGAAACACCCTTGAGACTAGGCAAAAGTAATAGTAGTCTGCCGAACCGAGTTGGCTGTGATGCATAGTTCTGATGGATGTACTCTCCAAGTAGCATCTGTGCCTGGTCTTGAACCAACTCGACCTTCTGCGGCTCGCTGAGGCCAATAGTTTCTAAAAATATATTATATAACAATAATCAATTATTTTATCTATAGCCGATAGAAACATAGGCATGTCAGTCTTTTGCGTACGTGTGCGTGCGTGCGTGCGTGCGTGCGTGCGTGCGTGTGCGTGTGTGCGTGTGCTGTGTGTGTGTGTGTGTGCGTACGTGTGTGCGTGCGTGTGTGCGTACGTGTGTGCGTGCGCGCACGCGTGCGTGCGTTTGTGTGTACGTGCGCGCGCGCGTGTGTGTGTGTGTGATTAAGCTTCTCCCAAATTCTTACCTGAACGAAAAAGCGTCGTTGTTTTCAAGCAGGCAAACTCTGTTCCATCTACGCGGTTGTGCTGAAAGCGAAGCAGGATTTCACGCACATGTCTGGTGACGGTGAACGGTGTATGAGCCCTCTCCAGCTGTATTGTTGCAGCAAGGTTGCAGGCCGCCGTCCACTGAGCGAGGCTGAGGAGAAATATATCCTTCCACGTCTCCTCGAGTAGTATCACCTGACACGTGGGAGGAAATCAGAATGCAAACGCACAATCTCGCCCAGCTATAACAAGAAACACGATATTTCCGCTAGAGAACAAGTTCATCATTATTCAATAGAAGTCAGCTGCAGGATTATGTAAAACGCTTTCTAACATGTAAAATACGCATAACTTACCCCTCACAGAATATATAGATATTGAGAGTATATATACGAGCTATTAACGGACATCTACTGATAGGTGGCATAAACTAATATGGTTGAGTTGATGTTACGACAGTATATCGCAGTCGTCAGAGAGAAGCATATTACTTGCTTTGCATAAATATTGGTCTGGTTGCGCTGGTATTATTATACGTATATATAGGATATTCCGTGTTTCCTTCGTTTTCATGTAATTCGTTTCAAGTTATTCCACTCTGGCGAAACGTAAATATTTTCTTTATATCAGTAACACAAAAGCTTTAATCAATATTTGAATTAAATATTACATTGACAAGTCTTGCACTTCGATATACCTTTCGACAGATATATTAGATAAACATAATATGACAGTTTTATGGAATTAAATATACCCATACGATAAAGCAAACGATACACAGGCAGGCAGACCATCCGTACACACGCATACTACATGTGCGAGATGCATAACATTTGATTACGCCCCCTCCTCGCACACACGCACACACACACACACACACACACACACACACACACACACACACACACATCACAACCACGCCGCGGCGCACGCACGCACAGCGGCACCACACATACACACACGCACGCACGCACGCGCACGCAGCACACACACATCACACACACACACACACACACACCCACAGGCATGCAAGCTCAAATACACACACGCAAGCGCGGGCGCACATAATGCAGTATATTTGCATGTAAATGGGATGCCTACCTGATCGTGCTTGCACAGATTTTGGAATGGTGGCAACACTTTTGTCCATCGGATCAATGTGAATAGGAGACGAGCCGCTATTTCCTGCAATGCATCGATAGTGCACAGAGACTTCGGGAATAATGTCGAGGCACTCCTTGAATCCAACAGCACACTCCTACCCAATCGACTTATTTCGTCTTCAGACGGCACAACAGCATGAAGTTTCTCGATAGCTGTAAGTGTACGAAACATCACGTCCAAGTCGCTCACTCCAGTTGTTGACGTCACCATGCTTTGGCCGCTATCCTTGACTTGAACCTTCGACGTAGATGGTGATTCTAGAGTACTGAGCTTTGGCTTTCTTGGTCCTCTCTCATGCTGAACGGCTATGAACATGTTGAAAGAAACAAATGCTATAGAATTACAACCTATGTTACCCCTCTTCACATTGCGGCTGGGGGAACGAATCAAACTAAACTAAAAGATCTACATATGCCTATTGATGTGCATTTGTTTATGTTGACTTTGAAAGAGCACTCTCGGAACGATATTGACGAACGGCCATAGTAGACAAATACAACTAAAAGAATGTAGCAAGTGAAAAGAAAACAGCATAAGCTTGGAATATGAATGCACACTCATCGAAAAGCTGCCAAGATGGATAGTATGAAAGCTATACGTGGTTTAGGTTGGAAAGATAGGCTAGGTGCAGTATCGGATAAGAGAGCGGAATGTGGAATGAGAACCATTACGAATACTGCAGTCAAGGCTTATCCTAAATATAAACCTAAGTCTAATACTTACCCTAACCATAATCCTAACCATAATCCTAATCCTACCCCTAGCTCTAACCCAATTTCAAACCTTAACACTAAACCCTAGTGCTAAGCCTAACCCCAACACTAACCCTAACTCTAATCCTAACTTGGTCCGTTAATTTAACCGATATTACTATAATACGAATAATGTTATATTATGCTGCTGTATATATTATACATGCACTCGCACGCGCACGCACGCACGTACGCGCGCACACACACACACGCACACACACGCGCGCGCGCACCCCTCCCCCATATATATATATATATATATCAAGAGTAAATAAAATAATAAACAAATTCACAACAACAACAACAACATGATTTTTCTGGCGAGTTAGGAGAATGTGCCAGAAGTTTATAAAGAGGGGAAGACGGGACTCGACGCCACGTGGTACCAGTGACCGAATCAGAGGTTTAGATCTCGAAGATGTAACGTAGCCGCCTCTTGGAACCGAAGTAGAGCGAGCGCGTGAACGGTGTAGGAGATGAAGATGGACGTATTTTAATAGCGTTCGAACGGCGAAGGCGAGTAGGTGTATAGCTATAGAACGTGTTACAAGCAGGGGAGAATGACTGGCGCAGACAATACGCTGCATGCCTATCGCCTAATCGAATTTTAATTGGTGGTGTTTCTTTATATTTCTTTCTGTTGTTATCCGGCATACGAAGTTAAGGAGGATTGGGTAAACGCTAGCATTCGCGCGTATAAAACTAAACTAAACTAAGTGGATTGATGGATCAACACACTCGGCTGGGCAGTGGTAGCGTCACAGGTCAAAGGCTGTACAATGTCAGGGACAGAAAAGCAGGATGTGCAACTTTTCATCGCATTGACTACACGGACCAACAACTAATTACGTCCTTAGAATATTTGAAAGAGAGAAACATATGTCGACGCTCGCCACAAAGCTGTGATTGCTGTGTGCGCCGCCTGCATGCATTGTGCACACGAAGCTCGCAACGCTGGTCGTTTTAGAAAATCGGATTCAATTGATGTCAGAAGCTGATGAAACCTCGCGAAAATAACACGCCCGTACCTACACTCGTGATTACTGCGAGTGAAATCAATCTGCCGAGGGGACTCTAGCAGCAAAAACGTTGCCATTCGGCGGTGAAACACGTGCGATGCTGCCGGGAAAACACATCGAAGTGGAAAATTCTGATGAGTTAATTAGGCTGCACAGACCGCACTAGTTTCGAATACCATACACGTGCGCGTCTCATTAAATGTTAATTGCGGATTCTAACGACGTACGTGGAATATTTTCCAGATATTCGGGGGTTTTATGATATTTCCAGTAGTCGAATTGTGTCGTATACTGAATCACCACATGTGCATTCAGAGGTGTAAATACAGTAATTAAACAATAATTATAGTAGAGATCACACGCATTTGTTATCTGTGAATTTAGCAGATAATCAGTTATTAACTTACTAATGTATTAAATAGTAGCGTTAACGCCTATCTAATTAGCTAACATATTATTCATATAGAGTTAAGAGTTATTTTTTAATTAGGGTTGACGAGAACGTTATCGTAACTCTATAGGGATAACAATTCTTGCACCTCCTGTGCCACCGTATTTAGCGTTCTAGCTTACCGTCCTTGTTCATGGATGCGTCGAAGCATTTGGTGAGTCTACACGCTCGGCATTGGTTGCGGTGAGTCTTGTCTATGGGACAGTGGCCTTTCAGATCTCCTACAGCTTTGCACGTATACACACGCTGCCTGTGTATGCTTCTCTTGAAGAATCCGGAGCAGCCTGCAATGTCACAATTTAAAGCGCGTTTCTTCGTGTTTCGCATGTATTAGTGTTGGGGTAATACTACTAGGGCTAGTACGTTATGGCGCATAATTAAATACTGGGAGCGGCATTTTCAGAAAAGTCGTAGTTACGATTACAACTAGTACAATGGTAATATTTTCGACTAGCATTATGATCCACGAATAGCGTTGACACATTAACGGAAATCCGCCGTGGTTGCGGGCGCACACACGAGAACAGGAATTTAAATTTGTAAATTATAAGTAAGACTAATTATTTAAAGTTAAAAAAATTAAGAGTATTGGTTATTAGTAGAAAATTTAGTAATTTAATTATTGGTAGTACAGTAATTTGCAGTCATAAATTAATTCAGTGGAATGGAATTTAACAAAAATCTAAATTCCAAATTATTTATTGTGCTCATAAATTATGATAAATAATAATTTTATTTTTAATAACATAATATATATATTATTTATATACTTCGTAGGTATACGAAATACTCTATATGTTTTAGGCGGTTAGATTGATATAAAAGCACGCTGCAGCACCAATATATTCACGCGTTTCTAAGACATACCATCGCAGCTGTAAATTCCGTAGTGTTTTCCTGAACTCCGGTCTCCGCACACGCTGCATGCTATGTCCAGCAATCTCTCACCTATATGTAGCCGGAACGATAAACGAGTTGACAATATAAACTGATATAATAATTTGAAATATATTATAATATCAGCTACTCGTTAGAATACAAAAGTCAAATTCGATTAATAACATTTAACAAAATTTTTTTTTTAAATAAGAAACAAAGCGTTGATTGTTGCTGAAGTTGCGCATTCATAGATAGGAGCGAAAAACAGCGGCAGTGAGCCTCTCCCAGAATTTATGTTAACGTGGATCTGCATGCTAATCGCCTGCAAATTTGCTAACAATGACGTGCCCTTGTTACTTCGATTTCTCATTCAGTTTCTCTCATAGGGAAAATTTTAGCCACTTTACGTCAAGCAATGGGTTAGCGTGTCTGTTTTTGTGCATCGTCATGTAGCCGTGCACAGCAAGAGAATAAAACTGTCATCTTGATAACCTTCACCCGCATGTCTGTTGCGTGACTTCTAACGAATATAGTAGCATCAACGATATAACAGCCCTCCCCCATGCAAGCTTGCGAATGAGTTGCTATTGTTTTATTGCGATTTTCGCTAGTTCCCATTTCTCTCTTATTAGAAAATCCCTGTAGTCCGGATCGCTTTGTTTTATCGATATGTGAAAATAAAAATCTTAGCAGCGGTACTAGGTATGCAAATGCTTTGCTACTAACCAAGCCATCACGTAAGGCACACACGGTTCTATTACTTCGACCCATTTAGTTCATTCGTTTCATTCCCCAGTCATGCAGTTTGCGCGCTTGTTTGGGATATTAGGTAGTTTTTCCACAGAGATATAACGCGGCTTCTAGGCAGTGAAGTCGCCCAAATGAATGCATGACACGAAAGAACGTCCTGCTAACAAAAATTAACATCCAAGTTTTTTTTGTACATGAAATGCACGGACAAAGCATGGCGGCACGAAGAATATTTTCAAAAGAAGACAAATGATCCTTAAAGTGCTTATTAAGCCACTTGTAGTCATGTTTTCCCGAACGGCGAATTTTCCCGACAGTTATAATACTTACGGGTATTGTTTGCGTAACGGCGGGATGCTGCGGTCAAAGTGAAATTTCTAGAGCGAATTTTACCATGCACATCTCTCCCGGGCATGCCCTTGCCTATTTTAAGCGCTTGAGTTTGGCCGAATAAAATTATGTATGCTCGTAACGTGACCAACAACGCGAGCGCCATTCCCATGTAGATTAGCATAGGTGAAAGATTGTGGCGGGCTTCTGCGGCCAAAGGAAAATTTCTAGAGCAGATTTTACTATGAACATCTCTCCTGGGCATATCCCTGCCCATTTTAAACGCGTAAGTTTTGCCGAATAGCATTCTCTTGACTGGCAACGCGACTAGTGACGCGAGCGCCATTCTCATGTAGGCTCTACGTACATAATTGTATAGGTGAAGGATTGTGGCGGGATGCTGCGGTCAAAGTTAAATTATATCTTGATTATATGTAGGGCCTAAATGAAATTTCTGCTGATTTATGGGGATTTTTTTAGCTTACTATGGTAGACAATAAAAAATATAACAATATTTTTTCCACTGTAGTATCTAAACACACAGCCACATCAGTTTGACCAGCCAGTTGACTTGATTATGAAAAATCCTGGTGGTAAGCGCGCGTCTGTGCGTGCGTGCGTCTATGAGTCCGTGTGTGCGTACGTGTGTGCGTGCGCGCGCGCGTGTGTTTTAAGTATGGGAGTGTATAATACGTGATAAGATTGACATTTGTCCATAGCTTGGCATTAATTTCGTGCAATCAAGACAACTACGAGACACGATAATTTGTTTTAGTTTCCTTGCAGCCTTAGTGTCTGCTAGCAGGAAAACCGGTGTCTAAGCCGGAGGTATCTTCTACAACATCCTTGCGTGATCAGAAGGTGTGGGTTGATTGGTTATGTTTAACCTTTAATGTAACCTGTGGCGAGTCCGAGACAAGCTAACATTCAATGCTTGATTTAGTTTTAAACGAGCTCATTCATTTTCAGCCGTGCGCGCGTGTTCATGAACTCGTAGGGTATACTATTCCTAATATCTACCTGGTCAGTACGTTAATTTTTTTTTAAATCAGCTATTTTTAAACACGAAATTGGTCTCCGATATACTCCACTGCTTCAATAGAAACCTTATATATTTTATTTTATAATATTTATTTTATATACATTTGATAAATTATATGAATATCATCTGATCATGAAATCATGAATCTTGAATTAATTCTGAGTCGTAGCTCACAACTAGAGTAAGGAAAGATGTTAAATAATAGCGAAGAAAGGTAAAGTATGTAAGTAGAGAACGCGTGAAATTGAAATATTGAATTGATTCTTCACATTTTTCAGCCCTTTCAAGCACATATTGAACGTTTCACACATGAGAATGCATATATGTTTTATCAAACGCATGTAAGCTACTGTTTAGCGTCCACAATATATCAAGGCTTATTGCCAATCGTAGCGTAACTTCTATATGTTCAGAAGAATCTGCGAGACTGAATAATTTATACACAAATGTAGTAGCTTTCTGACAATAGAACTCATATTCGTATACAACCCATATGTGGTCGAGGTTTAATCGATTCGGGTAATTTATTTTTAATTAGGCACATTATTTATGCATGTGCACTAGCGAACGCGCTTTGACTGCAGTATTTGAGTGACTTCCCAATGCAGGTTTTAAATTGATTTAATAATCTGCCATTGTTATGAAATGCACTATTAAACGTTTTTGAAAAATAGTGAGAGATGCGGTAACAGTGAATTGTCTTATCTATCAGATTCGTCAAGAAATCCGTCGCAGGCCTGTGCTTACATGTCGCTTAACTATGTATAATTGGCGTAGTACTGTGAAATTTATAATAAAAAAATACTAAGGACTATGTAATAAACACGATGTTCAGTAACGGCAGCATAATCATATTGGCGTCATACATATTTATTTATCACATATTAAAGTTATATATATATATAAATATATATACATATATATATAACTCTAATATAATATGTTTCTTTTATCTGGCTACTGGAGTTTATATTGAGATACCCTGTTAGTAATTGCCACGGGAAAGTGTAATATTCGGGTTGATTAATTTACGTGAGTAGGTTTTCACTTTCCTTGCCATCTACTTGCGTCTACAGATTCTCTTGAAAACGTTGAACGCGTTAATTATTATATAGCAAAAATAATCTCGTAATAGGGCACATGTGCGAAACATACAAAAATGGGCGCGCCACATTTCCTCGCAAAGAAACATGTGCAAACAACTTAGAATCGTTCAGTTAATCAAAGTTTCTACGCATTATTCTCGATACAGGGCTCATAACACTAATGCTCTAATGACATACATCTACCAGTATTGTGTAAAAAAATTCGACTGGTCCTACCATGCACGTGCATCAGGAAGTAATATAAGTACTGATTCAACCTGCTGTTAGAAATCATCAATTGCTCTGCCCCGTTTAACACCGGGAAGCTGCATGTGTAGTGTATTGGTAGATATGTTGGCCTAGCTACCAGTCTATCTTTGTAAAGATATAAGTAAGCCAGGACGAAGTAAAATTTAGTATGTCAAATGATATCTAATATAAATAATAAGTAGTACATAAATAACATAAATTAGTACGGATGTAATTAATGGAGTGTCGGTGACAGCAATTAGGATTGAAATCATGTGGAATTTTAATATGCTTGTTCGAAATAGAAATATAGAAGTCATAATTATATTTGAATTACCCACATGTAATCATAGGTCGCATTTTCATGTATCTTATCGCAATATTAAAATTTGTGTACAAATTCTAAACTCAGGAAACACATTAAATTACAGACGGTAATAAGAAAGGCTGAAATAACGCTTCGCAATAATATAGAATAGTTGCATTTGTTTTGTTTTTATATATTGAAATACTCCAGTTGCCTTTATTTATTTTTCTCTTATTAAACCAAACTATATGTGTTTTCTTTTTGATTCTATTGTATTAGACTTAGCAGCGTATTTTAAATAAAATAGCCATCTTATTATATACCAATATACCAACAATTCAACGAGAGATTATTTCATCATATTATGCAATTTCCATACGGTACTATACGCCGAATGTCCCGCCTAAATTCCTAAATTAATGATATTCAATATGCGAACACCACTAATTGTGTAAATATGCGTAAATGCGTTAATTCGATAATGCGTCAATACAATTACTCCATCATAAGGAAGACGGCGATGACAAAGCAGATACCACCGTTGACGAGGAAAATAATTACAACAGCAACGTGGTACCTACCCATTTCTATGCTGTTCGTTGTAACTGAAGTCCACGTAGCACTTCTTTGATATAGATCCTTTCTACTCTTGGTCACTTATGCTTGTCCAATATACTATACCGCATACACTCTTTATGAAAAAATATAAAAGAAATATATATATATATATCGTATGCGTGTATTTAAGGTAATCGTAAGCTCACGCGACTACTGACACTGCGGTGATTGGTATTATCCTGTAGTGAGATGAGAAGCTCAACTATAATACACAATAATTATTATTATTATCCCCCACACATTTTTGACAAAAGGTAGATTAAAGCTCCGAATAATTACGTAATATTGTGCTAACTCCGATTTCATTGCTAGCCTCTATACGTCTTGCTCAAAGTCAAATGTGCGATTTCAAGCAGTAAATCAAAAGCGCCACGGAATATACTCACCACGTATCGTGCGTTACTGCGTATGGCGCATGTCCCGCGTATACGTCTTCACCACAGCATAGATAATGACTACAGCGGACCAGCAAGAGATATTATGATACGTTCCTAAAGATAGCAGATGCGCCCGCTAAGGAACGCTGGACCGACTGACATCACCGGCGGCTGGGTCACGTCACTGGAGGCTAGCCGCACTATCGAGCTGATGTCAGCGAGCATTGTTGTCGTCAAGTCATGGAGCCGCGTGTCCTGGGAACCGGTGCAGGTGCGACTTGTTCGAGCGATCCCGTCCAATTGGCTCCACGGGACTATAGTCAATAGCAGCACTCCGAGCATCATGTATTATTCACAGAGTATTTACACTTTTGTTGTCTCTTTGAACGTGTTAGAGAACGCAGGCGTGTTCGGTCAAGGCTTCCTTGTCGCGCGACAACGCCTCCCTGCCGATGTTGCTAGAGACAATTGGTGACGTTATAGATTTTACGGGATGGTATCGGCGTAGACGTGCCGTGTGTTAAGGAATAGGGCCAGTGACGGGTGTGTGTTAATTTTTCACGCCCGTCTTCTTTGCGATGTGGCAGTGACGGTGTTAATTAAGCCGTTATAGTACGAATTAAGATGTCGATAAATAGTATTTCGTAAGCTAATTAGATTTGAAAAGTATTTACCGTCATCGTCGCGTATCTTGCAGTTGTGTGTTTTAACTCATCGCCTAAGTGTGACGCATTTCCACAAATACGCTACATTGTTTGCTAACTATCAAAGCAGATAATTTAATCATTAACATCTATCTATAATCATAATAATTGATTAGGCATGATGGTGTTGCAAACAGGTGATGTGTTGTAAAAAACGGTGTTTTATGTATCATGCATCGTTCGGGCAAAAATTTTAAATCCTTAATTTTTTGGCAATGGTGTTTAAAAAGAAACGGCTAACAATTGCTTTCAGTATACGATTGCACTTCACGTAGGAATCGCTTCAGATGGCATTACATGTTGCAATAAGAAATTCTTTGTTCATTCCGTGCTAGTGGGAAATGCCAACCGCTGGAGAAAACATGTATTGTATTCATTGAATGGAAAGGAATGGTTATTGACGCGCGGGGACTATCTCATTATAGTATGACGATTTTTGTTGGTGCCCAATAATAACACTAAGTCTACTCACATTATATGTCGCTTTGGCGACAGTATGCATCAATAGACTGTGATTATGCCATGTAAAGTTATGTTAGACATATTAAAGGGCCAGAGGTAGCGGTGTGTGGCACATGCATATGTAGGAGATGCGGGTGTTATGGCTGTTAGCATAGGTAATCAGGGATAGCGGTTATGACTATCATTACTTATTATTGGACAGCGTTAGTAATGTCTTCGGTATAGGTCATGAAGCAACAGCACTGGTCAAGCACATACAGAAACGCATACGCGCACACGCGCACACATAGAGATAGAGAGAAGGGAGTGAGAGATAGAGCGGGTGGGATCGGAGGAGAGCGCAGGGCACAGGAAAGCGATAGAAGGGGAGTAAACGAGGGAGGAAATGGAGAAACACAGCTCCATATCACAGTCAATGCGTTACTGTCGTTCGTACGGTCGATTAATGGGGCCAGTAATGTTGTTAAGTATTTATTCGCACATCGGCAGAGCATGCGCCAACGCAAGACTTTACTCGAGTCACTTGCAACAAGACCCGTTTCCATCATTTGCCTTTATCTCCTACTCTATCCATTATTTATTTGAATAACCTATCGACAGAGTCGGTATGTATATACGTGCACTGTCATATTACCACCACTAGATTGTAGTAGAACAGAATGTCGGTTCTAAACATTAGGCACTGCACGCACAGGTACCGTACTGAATACCAACAATATAACTATTCGTTATATAATATCAAGAGTAGATAATAGAGATCTATATAATCTCTATTATCTACTCTTGATAATATTCATGTAAGTTTGACAGTTACGTTTCTTATGAAAATCGTACGCGTGTACACGGGCGCACAACCAAAGGCTTGCAAGTGCATATAAATAAACATGTACGCACGAACGAAGACACACCACTAACACGCGCGCGCACGCACACACGCACGCATACACACACGCGCACACACATACACACACCACCCTACACATGTGCGCGAGAGAGAGGGCGAGAGAGCTTAGAGAGTACGCACTTACAGCATTTGACATTACTACAGCACTGACAGCTTTACTGTCATTAAATTAAATAAATCTCTTATGGTAGTAGTAATATATCCCGCAGCAAGAAATTATGACGGCATGCAACATTGTCCCCGTGCGTAATAATAGAACGGTGGCGGAATTGCGTTACTGATTTAATAGGTAATTCCTTCACTCGAATTTCAAATAAATTAGTCTAGGACCTCGCAGTTCTTCGGTAAGATATCAGAAAGGTTTCTGATTAAGGTGATGGTGATAGCTAGCATCTACTGAACCTGCTAACTAGCAGGAAGCGTTAGGATGTGTGCACGGCCATGAAGATTGCATCTCTCCATAGCTATAAAAATTTGGTTAGTACTATTTATCCGCATGTAATAATATTCGTAACGCAAAAAGCACCATTTAATTCGATTTCCTTTCGCTAAGCTGTGTCAATTTTAATGAAATTTATTTTGTACGTGAAGGGTGTGTTTTTGTCGGATTAAAGCATGTATAGAGATATACAGACATACATACATACATACATACATACATACCCTACATACATACAATACATACATTCCCCCCAAAAAAATAAAAAACATACATACAATCAGTGGAACATACATACCATACATCACAAGTACATACAGTCACCATACCATACATACATACATAGCATACATACACTACATTACAACAATCACATCACATACATACATACATACATACATACAATACATGACATACATACATACATACATACAGTACATATCATACCATATCATAAGTACATACATACATACAGGTACATACAATGACATACAATTAACATACATGACATGACATTAACAGTACATACATACATACATACATAACATACATACATACATACAGTAGCATACATACATACATACATACATACAACATACAGTCCATACATACAAACATACATATCGATACAGTACAACATACCATACAGGTACATACATACATACACTACAAGTACATACACATCTACATACAGTACATAACATACAACAATACATACAATATCATCTACATACATAACATACATACACGTACATACATACTAATATCATACATACATACCATAAATTCCAGTGACAGATTACAAACATATCCATCGCTACATACAGTACATACAGAGAGTCATACATACATACAGTACATACATACGCAGTACATAACATACACTTACAATCCATACATACAATACATACATACATGACATACATACATACATACATACATATCATACAATACCATACATAAGCATACATACGATACATACATACATACCATACATACCATACATACAATAACATACATACATGACAAGTACATACATACATAACATATCAATACATACATTACATACAACATACATACATACAGTACATACATTAAATACAGTAGAAGCATACATACATAGCATACAGTACAATACAAGTACAATACGATACATACATAGCAGGTATCATACAGTTGACCGATACATACATACATACCTACATACATACATACATACAGTACATAGGCATACAGACAATACATATAACATAACATATCATACCATACATCACATGACATAGCATACATACCTACATGACATACATGTAACATACAAGTACATGACATAACCATCACAGGACATAGCATACATACATACATACATACATAGATGACAATACTACTACAGTACATAACATACCATACATACATACATCCACTACCAACATACATAGACATACATTACAGTACACAGTACACACATTACATAACCATACAGTGACATAGATACAGTAACAGATACAACAGTAGCAGTACATTACCCATACAATAGCGGACCGGAGGCGAAGGGGCTAACACTAACATATGCACTCGAGACCATGAGATTCTTAGACATGGCGATCATACATACATACTACATACATACATAACATACATACAATACATTACTATAGCATACATACGATACATCTCAATAAGACATACATAATACACTACATACATACATACATACCATTACATGCCATACATACATACATAACAGTACGATACGATACCATAACATACACTACGATACCGACATACATACATAACACTACGATAACAGTACATACATACATACATCACATACATACAGTATCATACAATACATACATACATACATACATAGCATAATCATACATACATACATTACAATACATACATGACACTACATAACCATAACAGTACATTATACATCACATAACATACAGTACATACATACATACAGTACATCTACATACATACACACAACACACCCCGGCCCGAGCACATACATTACATACATCGCATAGCAGACCGACAGGTTCAGACAGACAGAACAGAAATGCTCCAAGAAAGATCTAGGTCTGGATGTTCAATTGAGGGCATTACGTTACCCGTATTATTTCTAAATAATAAGCAAGCTTTCATAAGTTATTGTTGGAGGACAACTAATCAGACCCGTTCTACAGCGCGATGTAAAAAAGTAACTTTGCAGCAAATCGTGGAGGAGTCATAATCGACCACTAAGCAAAAGTCCATTAAATACAAACGTTCAAAAAAATTCTAACCGCACATTGTGTGTTTTTGTCGGATTAAAGCCATGTATAGAGATAATACAGACATACATACAATACCATGCAGACAGACAGACCGGACAGACAGACAGCCAGACAGACAGACAGACAGACAGACAGACAGACAGACAGACAGACAGACAGACAGACAGACGATCAGGACAGACAGACAGACAGGAACGACAGACAGACAGACAGACAGACAGACAGACAGACCAGAACAGACAGACATGACCAGACAGACAGACAGACAGACAGACCAGACAGACACGACAGACAGAACCAGACAGAACAGACAGACCAGAGCAGAGCAGGATGGAGAGTGCTGCG